AGGCCAGAGGAAGGGTGAAATTGTTGCTCAAGTTGACTTTCTTCCAGGCATGACAAAGCTATTGCACTCTTGAGCTCATGGGAGCTGCAATTAACTGCACTAGACTGGGCCTACCAACATTCTATCTTGGTTGGAAAGGCCCTGGGGCGGGGGTGCTTTCCTTTTCCTGAGGATTTACGTACAGTTATGGTTGATGGGGAAAGGAACAACATTGTCTTCAATGCTGTCACCTTTGGTAAGGCCACACGCCTGTACACAATCCTAATAAAATCTGATCAGCTAGGAAGGAAGGATGAAGGGAGGGAGGGAGGAAAAGAAGGAGGGAGGGAGGAAGGAGAAGAGCAGGGCTGGGTAAGGAAGGGGAGGAGAGGGAACATGAGAGAAGGGAAGGGAAGGGAAGGGAAGGGAAGGGAAGGGAAGGGAAGGGAAGGGAAGGGAAGTAGAGGGAGGGAAGGGAAGGAGAGAGGCAGGGAGGAGAGAGTGATGTAGGAGGTCCTTCTGTATGTGTGCTGCTTTTATTGGTTAATGAATAAAGAAATTGTTTTGGCCTGTGATAGGGCAGAATAGAGTTAGGCGGGGTAAACTAAACTAAACGCTGGGAGAAAACAGACAGAGTCAGTGGAACACCATGTAACCACCTGCAAGAGACAGACAAGCTGGAACCTTGCAGGGTGGTTGGGAAACTAGCGACCACCCACAACAGAAGGGGAAGAAAGGAGAGAAGGGGAGGGGAGAGGAAGGGAGGGGAGGTGAGGGGAGGAGAGGGGAGGAGAGGAAGGAGTTTGGAGGCTGAGAACATGTTCCTGCCACACTGTCCCCTCTGCTGCTATCTCCTGATAGTCAGGTCAGCTGGCTCTGTAGGTGTCAGAGAGCACCTAGTTGCTTCTCCTTCAACGAAGGGGTATATGTGGACTTAAAACCATTCAGACATGTATGAAAATTACATGAATGCTTTCCAGTATGCCCCCAGTTAGGTGTATCCCCGCAGCAGCCCCCTTTAAGCAATGCTTCTCAAAACCCCGGGTTTCCCCATACCACTTGACACAGAAGTGAACAGGGTGGGGTCTGCATTCACTAAACTCTCGTACTAAAATACCTCAGGTTGGTACATGTTACAGAAAGACATAGCATGTAAGCGCACTGCTGCTCAGTTGGAAGAGGCCTGCACAAGGGAATATCTGCATTTCCGGTGTGGTCAGCTTGACTGCGGTGCCACTCAGATTCCTGGGCAACGCAGCTTTGCAGTTACCATTGACTGCTCCAAATGCTGGGTCGGCCGACACCTGGAAGCCTTCAGCTAGCAGCCTTCGTCACTGTATCTGGTTGACCACTTGGTATAGATAACCAGTTGGTGTGCTCTTCCCTGGGGAAAACTATTTCTCCATCTCTTAGCACTCCTTAGCTGCCTGCAGTTATCATGTTTGCCCTACTAAGACTAGACTGTTCGCTGGCATTGGGACATTATTAAGAAACCACTTGTTCCCCACACCACCAGACTGTGTTTGGAAAAGTTAGTTTCAGTCATAAAATATCCAACTCATGCCTCCTTGGCGTTCTCACCAGGGGAAGTTGTCTGGTTCTGGAAGCTTACTGTGAGAGCCAGCAATGGATGGTGTTCATGTAGGGCAGCAAAGAATAATGCCCCATCTGCACATTGGCCTCAGGAATCTCTGTCTGAGGTAAGAATCATGGAAGAGGTGCAAACTAGGAAACTATGCTTCATACAGAGAGTCCAGACCTGCAGTCACAAAGAACCCCCGGTAAAGGTTGGAAGCTAACTGGGCAAGTGGTGGATAAAAACTGGAACTAGCTGAGAACTACAGTGTTGTGGCGTGGGGAGCAACAGGTGGCATAAGCCCAGTCAATACACAAGCCATTCTAAGTGAAGGAGTCCCATCTTTTACAGAATTCAAGTGTCGTTACTGTCTTCTGAATCCTTCATATCTCAGGGTTTACTGTGTTATATCTGTGCACAGCACTGATAAAATCCACATCACATCCAATTAACACAACTAAGCATTGCTAACACAACTTAGCAATGGTAATGATATTTGCAAGTATTGGCATGCAATACCCTGTTCTCAACATATCACTCATTATGGAATAAAGTAAGTGTGTATATAATAAAAGAAAAGAAAGGGGGAAAGGACAGGAAAGGAGAAGGGACTAGGGGAGAAGAAAGAAAATTAACAAGAGGGGAAGAACTAGACAGAGTAATGGGGAACAAATATGGTTGCAAACACTATGTATGTGCATAAATTATCACAATAAAACACATTGCTATGTACTACCCATATATGTTAATAAAAATTTAAGTCTATAATACAGTGAAAAGCAATTGTTGGCCAAGTAACTAATGAAGAATTAGTTACATGTTTCATTGCTGCAACGAAACACAAGATAAAGAGGGAAGGGTGTAGCTTGACTTAGAACTCAGTCGATCCTGACATGGAAGTTTTGGTGGCAGGAAGAGGAGGCAGCTGGTCACGTTGCATTCATATTCAGAGAGCAGGAATCGATGACTGATGATACTCAGCTTGCTTTTTCCTTTCAGTTCTGTCCAGTAATTAGAGGGCTCCTCCCCTCTCAACCAATCTAACGTAGAAAATCTCCCATGTATATGCCCAGTCACTTGGCTCCCTGAGGATGCTAGATCTTGTTGACTTGACAATCAACATAACCTGGCACAGGTGTTTAACATCATGGAAGAGAAATAGCATCAGTAACATCAGCTTTCAGTTTCTACACCAGACCACACAAAAAGAACATTTAATGTTCTGGCCGGCATCTTTTGGGTGGCTTCTCAGCCTGTTATCCAAGCCCTATATATAGGAGAAAGGAAGTGCAAACTCACTATATTCTGTGATGTTTATCCTCTGTCCAGTTAGGTTTCTTTTACATAAATTCAATATTTTAAGACATGTTTCCGCTTTACTTTCACAAAATTAAAGACACATTATTTTAAAAGGATAGATACCACACAGTATGCATGAATTTTTCTCTTGATAAAATAGATATAATATCATAATGGAATATCTTTGGAAACCACAAATAGCCCACTAACCTTTCAAGGCTTCTGGGTATATGTGCAAATATCTCCCCAGAAAAACCCATGTCTGACTGTACTGTGAGTACGAAATAGGCGTTAACCAGATTGGGAGACGCAGTGTGTACCGCCGACTCCCACGGTCACAAAGCAAACTTTGCTCTACAGTCCGGTCGGGAGTGGGCAATAACATAAGGAACTGACGGTAGTTTTAATATTCTCAGGGCTTGTGGTTGGCCGAATAACCGAAGGAAGAGCAGGGCGTCCCGTTGGCTGTGCTTCTGTCGCCCTCTAGCGGTTCCTTCGAAGGTAGCTCTAACAGCTGCACCTCCAGAGCCCAGGCTGTCGTTCTCAAGGCCTGGGAACGTCAGACACCGATGGTCAAGGCTCACCTTACGCTCTGACACTGACACCATCAGTCTGCTTCAGTGGCTGTCCAGGTAATTCTGTGCACAGACTCATACTAGCAAGTACAAAATATAACATGCACACACAAAACATACCACACACACAAATAAAACTCACAAGCACAAATATAAATTTAAAAAAAAAAAAACAAAACAACACTGGCTAGAACATGTAGTCTTGATGGCTTTAAGGCCCAAGTGACAGAATGTGCCGTGACCCCAGATGCTCAAAAGAGAGAGGAAAATCTTGGAAATGAGAAAGTCACTCCATATACTAACTGTGCTTGTGTCTCTGACTAGTTCTGAATTATATATACGAAGGACATACTTCAAGCAACCCACCTAAGGATAAACATTACTTAATATTCAAAATTTAAAAATCAGGTAAGCTGCCTTTCAAAAGGAATATAAAACTACTCTGAGAAACAAACAGAACCCAGAGAGTCTGGTATTTGGGGCAAAGATGGCTCAGTGGGTAAAGACGCAAGCCCGACTGCCCAAGTTCCCTCCCCTGGACCCACGTGATGGAAGAGAGAACCCACGTCCACAGTCTCCTCCAGTCCCACACATGTCCCGCCTCTACACACACATAAAACAAATAAGTATAATTAAGATTTTTTAAATAAAAAGGGTCTGATGGAGAGTATTCATAAAGTTGAAACACAATTCAAAATTAGTATAAGTACAAGGAAACAAAAATGTGTCCCAGACCCAAGGAGAACTGCAACAAATGGAGACTAACCCCAGAGTGACATGGATATTAGAATTACCATGTAAAAATTACAGAGCAGCTATTGGAATCATAATCAAGGATATAAAGGAAAATATGCTTATGGTGAATAAAATTATATAAAATGTTAGCATTCAGAAACCATGAGGATCCCTGAACATAATAATGCAATATATGAATTTTAATTAATGGAAACAACTCAACATAAAATTGAAGGAAGAAAAAATGTTAATAAATTATAGACAATCCAAACAGAGGAATAAAGAAAGAAATTGGGAAAAATATGCTCCAAAGCTACAAAGAAACCCTGTCTCAAAAAACCAAAAGAAATAAAGAAAGAAAGAAAGGAAGGAAGGAAGGAAGGAAGGAAGGAAGGAAGGAAGGAAGGAAGAAAGAAAGAAAGAAAGAAAGAAAGAAAGAAAGAAAGAAAGAGAGAAAGGAACATAGACCATGAAAATGCTACAAAAGTATATAGGTTATACACAAGCATTATGTCTCCAGGAATGCAGGAACAAATAAAGAAAACTATTTTAAAGATTTATTTCTGTGTGTGTATGAATATTTGTCTGAATGTATGTGCATACACTATCAGACAGAAAGGAAGCACCTCAATACTCAAGACTTTAGAAACCATCGAGATAGCTGGGGGTGCAACTCAGTGGTAAAATACTTGTGTCTCATGTACAAGGCTCTGGGCTGCTCCTCAGCAGCATAAAGAAGAAATATTTTAAATAATAAAATATTATTATGCTCACACTTAACATGTACCATAACTCACTTAAAGTCGAAAGTGCAAACATAAAAACCAACACAAACATATAACAGATGTTTTCTTTACTAGTTAATGAAACAAAAATAAAACATTTCTCATACACTCATAACTTAGTCCATTAGAAAATGTCTTATTCTGCAATCTCTCTGGGCTGGTTTTCCATCAATTTCATCGGGCTGTGTTTTTATATTTCTGTTTGGGTGAAAAACCCCATAATAAACAGTAAGAAAAATAATCCCAAGGAGAAGAGCAAGAACTACGGTGACGCTGATAGGGATAAAATAGTCTGAATTAAAAATAGAGAGAGGATAAGCCCAAAACACAGTCAGGATTCCCAGCGTGCCTAGCACCCTTACAGTATAATAGCAAGACATTGGACATTTGGTATTCTGTCCCTTGATATTAAAAAATGTAAACACAAGGATGAATCCAACAACCATCCTATATAAGAATTCCATATGTAGAGAATTACAAAAGTGTGTTTGCTTTATAAATGCCCAAATGAAACCTATGATCCAAAGAAATGACAGCAGAAACAAAGCAACTTTCACATCCACCAACAGCAGAAGCACAACACTCAGCATCCACGACAACAAGGTAAACAGCTTGTAAAAGAGATACGTGAGTTTGGGACAGAGTCCACGGAGGTGATTTTTATCGGGTAATGATTTTCTTAAAGCTGTTTGATAATCGACTGTTGACCAAGAAATAGCACAGCAGGAAGCCATGATGACCGCATCTACAAAGGAAAACACAAAGGACTTATTGGTTTATGAATGGTAACAGTAGTATTAGTAAGAACAGTAATGACAATAGTAATTAGCTTGTGCCATGCATGCTTTGGCAGTGTAGACATGCCAGCACATCAGGCAGTTGGCATATCTAATTCACTGAACATAGATTTTGACATCTCCACATAGCATTAGGGGAGTCAAGGTTTGAAGAAATTTATTACTCGATTCTTAATATGCAACTAGAAATTCACAGAACTGAGATTTGAAACTAAAGCTGTCTGAAAGCTGGTATGTTAATGAACTATATCATACTGCTTTAGAGGAATCTTAAATGGATTCAGTAAATAAAACCTTTGCTAAACACTGCAATTATGTCTACCATTTTCTACACCATTTGGCTCTAACCTTGTATATATACCTAATTCACTGAGAGATTGCTTAATGGGGTATGAGACAGTTGAACAGAAAATTTAACGTGAGTATACATCATTAACAAAATCATTTTTCATAACCTATCGATCCATGTCATGTGAACAAATGTCCTCTGAAATTCACAACGTTCTATAGGTGTGACATCTTTACCTATTTCTCCCAGCAATCAGGAAAGAAGAAGTTCATCGTTGTTCTGGAAATGCAAAACATTTCCAATCTCATCGCCAAAGCAGGGGATGGTTTCAAAGAGGAAGCAAATATATGAAAAAATCAGAATGAAGTAGTCACAGGGTAGGAGTGGCTTTGAGTCGCACCCAAGGGCTGCCTGTGCCTAGCCAACTTGCCAATGGTGTCTTTCTTGCTGAGGATGAGGATGGGCAGGGCCTTATAAGCACATCTTCTCCTCTCTTGATTTTGGCACAGAACACGATAAATCTGTACTTATTTTCTCCTCCTGTGTAACTAGAGTATCACTTTCCTCTAAACTGTCCAGTGACTTAAAAATTTTTTAAAAATCTTTCGTCTACAGGTGTTTTGTCTGCATGTGCCTGATGCCCATGGAGGCCAGAAGAAGGCTTTGGATCTCCCGGAACTAGAGTTAGAGATAACTGTGAGTCATCGTTCGGCTTCTGAAACCTGAACCTGGTCCTGTGCAAGGGCAGTAAGTGTTCCTATCTGCTGACCCCTCTTTCCAGCCCAGGTATGTTTTAGTATTTGAGCGATTTCTTTGTTTGTTTTGTTTTGTTTTGTGAAACAGAGTATCAGTGTGTGGCCCAGGGTAGTTTTGAACTCAGCATTAATCTGCCTGCCTCAATCCTCTGAGTTGCTGGGATTACAAGCGTGCACCACCGTGCCTGGCTTTAGTCTCCAAATTAACACATGCACATAGTTTTAAAAGTTCTACAAACTTTTAAAAAATCAGCAGTCACTTTCTTCAGGTCCCCTGGTCACTGAGCTGCAATCCCAGTCCCAGAATTCTTATTTCTTGTAGTTCTTTGCTATGGATGGAACCCTGTATAGTGTTGCTTATATGTACATGAATTCAGGTCTGACTACTTAGTATTAGATAACCAGTTAGGGGTCTCATCCCTGGGAAAGACTGTTTCTCCCAGTCCCAGAATTCCTAGTTCCTTGCTATGGGTGGGGCCCTGTGAGAGCCCCCTTCCGTACTAGTATGTCTACTGGTGTTATACTTCTTCAGGCTTTGTTTAGGCAGCCATATTGTTGAGGTGCGGTGGGCAAGACCTCCCTTGACGTCATTTCTAGGAAACATATCTCACAGCAGACTTCCTGGACCTTTGGTTCTTAGAAGAACCTGCTCGTGCTTCTGCAATGTCCCCTGAGCCTTGGGTGTGGGAGTTGGGTTCTAGATGTATCAGCTGGGCCGGGTATCTCACAATCACTTGTTCTTTCTGTAACAACCTCTTATCTACTGATTCTATTCTCTATTCTAAAGAGAAGTTTCTTTGCTGAAGGGTGAGAGCTATATATGGGTACAAGGACAAATATTTAAAACACTGTTAAGAATTATGATGGCTTAGTAAAGCGAGAGTGGCAAGTTCTCCTTGAGGTCCTTAATCTCACTAGTCTTGGTCTTGGTAAGAAATTCATGCTTTCCCTCCCACTGAGGAGGCCTTAGAGACCTTAGGATTGTCATGCCATTCTGGCTGTCATGGTTCATAGTGTTATAGCTGGACAGGATTATTGGCTGCTTCCCTCCCTTGGAAGCTTGCATAACAAATTCAGTGCTATGAAAGCTAGCTCTTGGTGGGGGATCTGATTCAAGTTAGATCCAGCCTGGAACTCCTGGTCTTTTGTCGAAAGTGCCTGCTGCCTTCAGAAATAGTACCTTAATGTCTACCTCTGGGAGGCAAACAAGGACAACAGCAATAACCTATATTGTTATAACAATTGGAAAGAGGGTTCCTCATACCTGATATTGGGGTTGTTTTTAGACAGTTGTGGTTCTTTGGGGAGCACTATTAGGCCAAGCCAACACTGTAGACTGTCTTTTACCACTGCATGTTTTAGAAAACTTTGTCAACAGTCAGGCAGTCACAGCTTATTGGTTTATTCCCAGACCGTCTATTCTGTTCCATTGGTCTACCTGTCTGTTTTTATGCCAGCCCAAGACTGCCTTTTCACTACAGCTTTATTGTAAAATTTGAGTTCAGATATTATAATACCTCCAGCTGGGGGCGTTCTCATTATTTCACTGGTATTTGTTTGGCGGACTTTCGTGGATCCATAAGAATTATTAGATTATTTTTACTAGTTATAGGAAGAATGACACTAGAATTTAGATGGAAACCACATTGAATCTGTAGATTACTTTTGCTAACACAATAACACAGCCATTTTTATTATAGAGTCTGCCAAGCCAGGAACATAGAATATCTTTCCATTACCTAGTATCTTTTTTGGTTTCTTTTTTTTCCCAAAGTCTTGAAATTTTCACTGTAGAGGTTTTCCCTTCCTTGATTGGGCTTATTCCTAGGTACTTTATTTTTGTGAGCTATTAAAAATGGAATGTTTTCTCTAATTTCTTTCTCTGTGAGCTATCTGTAAGTATATGAACAGTAGCGATTTTTGTATATTGATCTTGTGTACTACAATTATACTGGAAGTGCTTTATTAAGTCTGCAAGCTTTCTGGTCGAGTCTATGGAGTCTGTAAGTAGGAATTACACAGCTGCAAGTAGAGACAATTGAACTTCCTCCCTCCATATGTCTATCTCTTTTATGTCTTTCTTTTGTTTATCTGACAAGGAGTTTGAACTCTCTATTGAATAAGAGAGATGAGAGTAGGCATCTTTGCCTCATTCCCAATTTTAGAGGTAATGTTTTCAGTTTTTCTATTAACTTAATATTAGCCATAGGCTTCTTGTATATGATTTTTACATTTTGAGGTCTGATCCATTCATTCATAATCTCTTCAGGACTTTCATCATGAGGGCATGTTGGACATTTTGGAATCTTCATGCATCTCCTCCTTAAGCCTACTTATATAACATATTGCATTTATTGAATTGAGTGTGTTACACTAATCCAGTAGCTTTGGGATAAATTTGGTCATCATGCATAATATTGGCAACATGATATTTTTATATGTTGAATAATTTTATCATTATCAAATAGCATCCAAAAAACATTAAAAAAAAGATAGAAAAATCATTAAAATTCCACTATCAACAGCAGCCATACTTAATATTTTGGCACACTTTCATTCAAATGTTTCTTTCTAGTCATGTATTTGTATCCTTAAGAATATACTGATGGAGGTTCTGGAGAGGTAGCTCAAAGGTTAAGAGCACCGGCTGCTCTTCCAGAGATTCTGAGTTCAATTCCCAGAAACCACATGGTGGCTCACAATCAACTATAATGAGACCTTGTGTCCTCTTCAGGTCTGCAGGCAGAACACTACATACACAATAAATAATTCTTAGTGTGTGTGTGTGTGTGTGTGTGTGTGTGTGTGTGTGTGGTTGTAAAAAAGAATATGCTGACTGAAAATCTTTTAAACAGTTTTTGATTAAATTTGATCAAATAAATTTTTCTATGTCATTAAAATTTCTCTGAAAAGCCCAATGTTGGTGGTGCACGCCTTTAATCCCAGCACTCGGGAGGCAGAGGCAGGCGGATTTCTGTGAGCTCAAGGCCAGCCTGGTATTCTAGGACAGGCTCCAAAGGTACACAGAAACCCTGTCTCAGAAAAAAAAAATCTTTGAAAAGACTCTTCTAAGAGCTGTATGTTTTATTCTAAATGTCAATAAAAATTTAATGCTCTTTCTTTCACTCTCTCTTTCCCTTTATTCCTTTTTATGTATTGTTTTTGTTTTTGGAACAGTATTTCTCTGTGTATCTCTGGCTGTCCTGGAACTCACTCTGTAGGCCAGGCTGGCATTGAACTCACAGAGATCCACCTGCCTCTACCTCCCAAGTGCTGGGATTATAGGAATGCATTACCACTGCCCAGCTTTTATTTTTAATAAACTCTTTAAATTCTTCCCTTAAGAAAAAAATGCAATAAATAAGAAGTGAACATGCGCATCCATCCATATCAAGAAACTATCTCCATTTGATAACCCCTTGCAAATGAAAATTTAGTTTTCTCCAAGGGTGTTTCTCTGGGGACACAAACTACTCCCAAGTGTAGGCTGCAGGCCCGGCAGTGGATGTCCACAGAACGTGAGCTCAGTGGCATCTCTGGAAGTCCTTGTCTCATAGCGCCATGTCAGGGCTTTTTATCTATCTACCTGTCTACCTATCACGTTCCAGGTCTTTTGTACATATGTTATGGCCTCTGGATTTGTGCTTTAGTGGTATTACTGAGAATGCAAACTAATGGGTTTCTGTGTCTATCTCTGCTTCTTGTGCCCTTTCTTGGGCTCTTTCCTCTCTATTTGTTTATTTTGTCCTATTCTGATTTGTTTGGGGTTTTATCTTATTATATTTTATTTTATTATTATCCCTTAGATGCTTGTCTTTTTTCTGGGGGGGGACAGAAAGGGAGTGGATCTAGAAGGGAGGGCTAACTAGGAGCAGTAGAAAGAGGGAAAACTATATTCAGGGTATAGTGTATGAAAACTATTTCAAATTTTAGAAAAGATCAAAAGAAAAAGCAATGAACATAAGGACATAATCACATCATGAAGATGCAAAAGTTTACTTGTCGCATCATTTAATAGTCAGGTGTTTCCAGACAACCTAAATTAGCGTAAATGACAGAGTGGCTGGTCAGCTGCGGTGTATGTGCCATCTGTAGCATGATGCGCGTGGGAAGGAGAAGGAGGGAACCCTCCCTGTAATTAATTTGGACATCACTGTAAGATGTGCAGTTGAAAACAAAACAAAAACCCAAATGCTGTCTTCTTTGTCTTAAGGGGAAAAATGAAAAGAAAAGATAGCGTACACTTTCCAGGTTCTCTGAAGGACGGCCTAGTGACCAACAGTAGAAGTTTCCCTCTGGGCAGACAAGGGAAGGAACAGCAAGAACAGAAATAGAGACTATACCTTCACACATTTCTTAATATTTGAAACATGTTGTTGAGTTTCATTTCAAAAATCAGTTTTTAGTAATTAAAAAATTCAAAAACAGTCCTGAGATTTCTAAAGTTACAATAAGGTGGCGGCAGCATCCGTCTAGCCGGGGATATTAACAAAGACTCACACTGACTTAAAGTTGCCTGGCCCTGCTCCAGAAAGGCGTAGAGCTGAAGAATGAGCTGGGGGCAGCTTTCCAGGTAGGCCTCAAACAGCCTGAGCATGCTCAAGTCGGTGGCCATGTCTACAGCTTCCTTGTGAGGGTCCGTTTGCTCCTCCGTAAAATCACTCGTTCTGCTGCTGGGTTTGGAAACCACCTGGTAGCCCCGTCTCAAGGCAAACCAATACCTAGAAAATGAACATGAGCATTTCTCTTCAGTCACATACTTTTAGACAGTAAATTCATTTTAATTAACATATGAAAGATAAAATTATGCATATGTATAAGATATGGATATTTCAAAACATGTACATGTTCAAGGTTTAAATCAAGTTAAACATGTCTATCATTTTAAATATTTATTATTTTATAATACACAAAAATCCTTCTAGTTTTTTAAAATATGCATACTGTTGTATATTCACAGAATTGCTTATCATTATCTGAAGGCATCCTACCATGCAACAGGCCTTCTTATCTTTTTCCCTTACTATTACTTAGCACCTATTGACCAGCTCTCTGCTCTTACACATCTTTATGATGCGTATTTATACACATATTGAACAATATATAAGTAAGGACTTTTCCACAGACCCTCTCCAGTGTGGGTGCTCTATACTCCCTTCACAGGCTTCGCTGACATTCGGACCTCATGAAATTTTAATGGCTGAGTGATGCGTGTTTTAAGCACAGATGATCATACCTCATTTTTATTTTTTTTCCGATTATTTACAGAGATTTATTGATTTTTCACTATATGACAGATTGAACTCGAACTCGGCATACCTCATTTTTAAAATAATGAGTTGAGAAAGCTAAGGCTGCAAAATGTAAAAGATTACAAACACTTATACAAAGAATAGTGGGCCAACAGAAAGTCCAAACACAGATCCTTAACTACTGCATCCAAAAAGAGAAATTATAATTTAGTGGTGTGGTGATTTGAATGTAATTGACCCCTATAACCTCACAGGGAGTGGCACTATTAGGAGGTGTGCCCTTGTTGTGTGGGTATGGCATTGTTGGAGGAAATGTGTCACTGGGGGCTTTGAAGTTTGCTATGCTCAGGATACAGTCCAGTGTCTCAGTCAACTTCCTGTTGCCTACAAGACGCAGAGCTCTCAGCTGCCTCTCCAGCACCACGTCTGCCTGCAGGCTGCCGTACTCCCCGCCATGAGGATAATGGACTGAATCTCTGAAATTGTAAGTAGCTGCCCCAATTAAATGTTTTCTTTATGAGTTGCCATGGTCATGGTGTCTCTTTACAGCAATAAAACCCTAAGAGAAGTGTTCATCAGATTATCTTAACTACAACACAGAACATTTCCTTACAGAATGTGAGTGCTGAAAAGGAGACTGAATCTTTTCCATTTAATTTAGCAAATCATTAATGACAACAAGGGGTCTCTGAGCATTTTCATAGTAGAAACACAAAAGGAACACAAAACAACCACAACAAAACCCCTCAAAGACTCTTAAAGTAGTCCTGCTCAGGCCCTTCTTCTGAAAGAACTTTTAGATAAATACTGGCTAGCAGTCTACAGGTAAGATTCATATTTTAAAAAAAGTTGACACTTATTTAGAAGCAATCTGAGGTGAGGAGAAATACAACCAAGACACTATTTTCAAACTTAGAATTCCATATCTGCCATCAGTTTCTTCACAGATAAAATAATAGACACACAGAGAGACAGATATAGAAACATAGATAGACAAAAATATAGAGGAATAGAAATAGGATATAGATTTATATATAGATGATAAAGATATAGATATAGATGATACAGATAGAGTTACAATGCTGTTTAATCTAAAACTGTGGGAAATTTGCAGAGTCTGCAAAAGCTCTTCCCAAATTTCCTGCATTTTAATGCCAAATGTATCCAGACTCAACACTTCACACCACTTATGATATGACCTGCATCCCCAAGTTAATCAGGCAACCCCTGACCCAGATTATCTCACTAGCTCCATAATTGTTCTTCCTGATCCTATTTAGTCTTTCGGGGAGGGGTGTGCCACAGCATATATGTGGAGTTCAGAGAGCAGCTTCGGGGAATGGGTTCTCTCCTTCTGCCGTATGTGTTCAAAAACTCAGTCTCAAGTTGTCCAGCTGTGGCAGCAAGCAACTTCACCTTCTGAGCCATCTTGACCACCCTGATTCTATTCTGGCTCCTCATCTAACCTATTCTCTTCACAACATCTATTTTGCACCCTTTAAATATAATTCATATGGCATCCCTCTAGCCAAAATGTTCCAATGATTTCCATCAGATCTAAAACCCTAAATTCTTCCATATCTTCTAAGGTATTCATGGCCTGCCTCCACACACATGAACATCACTGTCTTCCATTTCCCTCACAACTCCAGTGTGTCCTTGCTACCTTTCACAACTTAAAGGCCTCCGTCTTCACTGCTATACCTACCTAGGACCCTTCTAAACCCAATATGTTTTCATAGTTGGCTCCTTAACTTTACTTAAGTTTCTACTTGGTTGTTACATCTATGAATTATATTCGCTGAGGGCTAGATGCCAGGTAGAGAAAATGTTAGCACAATGACAACTGCATGACCTTTCAGTTCAATAGGTGCATCAAGTATACATACCACCAGCTACAACAAAAGGCAGAAGAAACAAGCAATCATTAGAATAAGAATACCACACTGTGAAAATATAGCAAAGAGAAAAATTAACATTACCTATAATAGAAAGCTTTACTTTTATTTTATTTTTTTTCTATTTTACTTTCTCTTCTGGGTATCTAGCACAACAGGAAATATCTGCTCCCTATTTCTGAAGTGGTTTATAAACCAATAGGTTCAATACTGTTTAAAAACAGAAAAATTCAATAAATATCATCCATTACACATAGAAAGTCTAATTAGCACAAGCAACAAAGAATGGTGAAGAAGAAAATGTTAGTATTAAGAGTAGAAACTCAGACAAATGTGGTAACATGCACATGTAGGTATGGTATATACAGTATATACCATGGTATATATTCAGGAGGATCACTTGAGCCCAGGGTAACAGTGAGACCACATCTGTATCAATAGATAGGTAGATAGGAAGGTAGGTAGGGAGAGAGAGAGAGAGAGAGAGAGAGAGAGAGAGAGAGAGAGAGAGAG